ACATTACCGTGAGTTGTGGAAATTGTAGACGTGGCCACTGCTCACCGCTGCAGTGGACTGGATTAGCGGCTGAAGGGGAACTCGACTGGTTGTCTGGTTGAAGTGGATTTCTTTGCCATCAATGATGTTAGACAGCTGTCGCAGCTCTTCTTCGTTCCGGGAGTCGTAGGCTTCAACGCTTTGTTCTTGTCGATGAACAGTTATTGTTATTATTTCGCATTTTGGAACTCCCTTGGCCTTCAGCTTTCTGACCTCCGTTTTCCACACTGAGTGGTTCGATAATCAGTTTTAGAGATCCAGGTTCGTAATCGGTTCCGTCTTGTTTGCACACGAAGGCGTAAAACCGCTCGAGTACTTCATCCAACTGTTCAGGAACAATCATCTCCAGGTTTCTCTCAAGGCTATTTTCGTCACACCACTTCTCAAAACCCTCACCCAGTTAATTGTGCTCTTTCGCGTATTTAAGTTTTAATCCGCTTTTTTTAATTCCGTAAATTCTTCAATGGTCACGGTCTTAAATCTCGACGCCATCTTGGCACTGATCGAGATACAAGAGATGCTGCCATAGCAATTTTGTAATTTCACGTGTGAAATTATGAATTAACGCTGAAATTTCGCGCCCAAGTTAAGGAGTAATTTGTCACCCGTGATATTATAGATATTAACTCCACAGCGTTTTCTCTCCTGTTGTTTTAATTTATCGCGTAAAAGTAACCCTAAACGTGATATTTTGAATCCAATTCCTAGAGAGATTTCCAATTCCTGCCAGGCTCCAAGTCTAAGTAGTAACCCGGTGATTAGAAACTTAGATTCATTTTCAAGAAAGTGAATCATGAAATAGAACACCTCTCTGAATACCTATATGGTTCCAAAGTCGAACATAGGTCGCCGACCCGAAACAACAAGAACGAGAACGGTTGAAAACGACAGGCGCGCAGCTGGGACGTCATGGGCAGTCATGGACAACTGTCAGAGCTCTAGCCTGACAAATCGAGGTGGATGGAAGAAGAATGTCACAGCTTCATTTGCCTAATGGCGTGGAGAAACCGGCTGAATATAGGTATAGGTTGCGAGGTTCAAAAGTATATGTACTAGTAGTCTCATGATAAGTTAGAAGCACTGTGTAATAGCCTTGATCCTTCACTGCTTGCCTCGCTTGTCTTATCTTCCAACAGTAAAGAATTGGATTTAGAGAAATATTCCAAGCAATAACACCGACGGCTTTACCAGTCCTTTATCAATAACCTTTAAAGAAATCCAAACCGAATAAACTGAACAAGCAAAACGCAGAAATCTCCAAAAACACAAAATATGCATGCAAATCGCTAAGTAGGAAGGGTCAGATAGCAAAACCTGTTCGCTTTTCAGTTAAAGCATAAAATTCGCTACAAAAGATGGCCGAAAGATCGAAATTCTAAGGTAACTTCGTTAAGATTGATTCCGGCAATACCAAGAGAAAAATACAAAGCCGAGAAATGCATTTAGAGGTAGAAAAACGTCCAAAATGGAATGTCGAAAAGAAAATGATTTCTTGATTCCCAACCGCAACAGAAGAATAAATTTTTGGCAGTCTACGATCGAAGCAGCTGTCTCTACCAACATAAAGAAAAGTACAAAATTCGGCTTGGCATACAGTATTTCGTATGAGCTAATTTAGCCCTGAGGTTATCGGCGACTACCGACACAAAACTATTTGTTTATAACTGAGATTAACAATAACTTCGACAGATCGAGCAACTCTTGTGCTATTGCTAAAGGTTAGCGAAATTAAAACAATGAAATTGATAAAATATCAGTCATCGCATGGTTTCAAATAAGGGAGACCTTACTGAACCTAACAAGAAGTCGTGACGATTTTTTTATCCGCTGCCGTGACAACGCTCAATGCGGCATAGCTTGCTTCTGGAACTCATAAACTTATTTTGATTTAGTACCTTGTATCAGCTATTTCAAAAAGTGTGATAAGGTATCACGTGTGAGCCGACTAATTTTTTTTTTTTCCATCTCCTTTCCCTGCACAGTTAATCAGCGCAGTAAATAGAGTTTGTGGGTTTCAGTTATTTGCAAACAGAGGAACTTCGTTTGCTCAGAGCAAAATAAAAAAAGAGACCACCCACGTGTTGGGATATCAGAATTTTGCGATAGTCAATTATGAACCACAAAACCTCTCTGAAGTCATTCAGCCTACCTGGTTCCAAATTATGTGATGACAAGGTCGACATAAAAAGACAAGGACGAGAACGGTTGAGGACGAAAGGCGCGCAGCTGGGTTGACTGTCAGAGCTCTAGCAACCAATCGACGTGGATGCAAGAAGAATGTCACAACCTCATGTGTTCTATGTTACCGAGATACATAGGAATAGGTACGTACGTATGTTCCAAAGTACCTGATAATTTAGAAGCACTGTCTAATTGTCTGCTTCACTGCTTGCTTCACTTCTCTTATCTTCCAACAGTAAAGAATTGGGTTTAGAGATGAGTTGAGAAAAACCAGTATTCCAGAAATATTCCAAGCAATAGCATTACATGGAGAAACACCATAGAATGCACTAACAGTTGTTGCAATAGTATATGGTAGATAACACAACAATATTGTTAAATATATCCACAATGCACTGGCAACTGTCTTTTTATAGCGCGCTATGTTCAAGGACGCACCAGGATTGATGTGGGAACCGTGCACTTGAACTTGTCGACGACGAAGAGAAGCGTAAATTTTCAAGTAGCAACATGATGAGATACTTAATAATAACAGAAGTATTACGCAAGATCCCATAAAGAACAACCGTTTCCTCCATAAATAAGTCATGGCAAATGCAACGTTTATGAGCCAAGAAGTTATTACGAACAGACGAACGCGAGTGAAAGTAACAATCTGTCTGTATCTTAACCCTAACACCAAAGAGAGAAGTCTGTCCACACTTATCGCAGTTAGTGTACTGATGGATTCCCCACACAATATTGAACCTGAAACAAATGCTAAACTTTCAGTTAATTCACAAATGTTCCAGTTCTTGTTAACAAACGCCATGAGGTAAGTTACAAATATGGGTTGCGAGAAAAGTCCAACAATGAGATCCGTGCATGATAAACAACGAAACAGAAGTTTCGACGATGAATGAAGAGATGAAACTTTATGAAGAGCGATGAGAATCAGGATGTTCCCTACCAGTGAGGTGAGGGATAAAATCACATGTACCGCAGAAACACAGAAGACAAAAAAATAATTATTGACTTTACAAATGGCCTCTTCGCTTTCCAAGCTTTCCGCGAAACTCGAAGAACAGGCAGAAAGCTGGATTGCTCCCTCGTTTCTCTGTGTCGTAAAATCGATCATTTTAACTTTCTAAGGGGGTTATCGATCTAACTTAGAAGGTTTGGTCCCGCCGGAGAGATCCTTTCTTAACAAGAACAAGAGATACACCAGCGATGGCAAAAATCTGAGTGAAGCACTCAAGTGCACATGTGATTGACATGAATGTATAATACCCCGACCCGCTTTTCAATTACAATCAGGATGTTCCCTGTCAGTGACACGCGCGAGGGATAATTGAAATCGCATTTACGGCAACAAAGAAATAAAATTAACTTTGTAAGGGGTCTCCCCGCTTTCTTCGATGAGTCACCGAGAGCAAGCAGACAACTGGATTGCCTCCTCGTTTCTCTGTGTCATAAAATTGATAATTAAAACTTTCTCAGGAGGCGATCGATCCCACTTAATAGGTTTAATTTGGCCCCGAGAGATTCTTTTTTCAACCTGAGAAGCTTCTGCAACAAAATTAAAGGATAGCACCTAGATGCATATAACTGACTGACAAGAACACTGTAAATACCTCGATTCCCGATTTTTGATGATGAGCTTCAGTCGTCAGCAACCAAAGTAGTTAGCTTCATTGCAATTATCGGTTTCTTTTTATTTTTCTTGACGCTAAATGGTGCATTCGCTCTAAAGAAGGTAACAGCGGTCCCGGTATTCTTAGCAGATTTTGCGACTGGCTGCAGAAACAAATTTAATTCCTTTATTTCATCGTCAGGAAATTTAAATAACACAAACAGTATTTATAAACAGATATCTTCCCTATTTGTTGAACCTATAAGTCCACTCTCTTTTTGGTTGTTTTACGGACACATCATGACATACATACAAATTTATTCTAGACGTGGAAAGACAATTGAAATACATGCATAAAATACGTCTTGAAAAGGAAACACGAGGTTAACCCTAT